TACCAACAGTGGAAACGTAGTTGTAACGTTATTGTCGCAGGTACGTGGGCGGTCAGGTAACTGTCATCTAAGATGCTTAGTTCGGTTCATGCTATATCGTGTTTTAAACGGCAGTGTTCTAATACGAGTTGTATAATTCTAGAACATGTGAGGCGTAATTGTCACGTTTACTCGAGCGATTGGACGGCAAATACATCAAAATACATCAATACATTGTAACAAAGTGCCTAATCAGCAGTAATAAACACAACAGCAACAACGACGACGATAACAATGATAACCGCCACCAAACAACAACAGCAAACGGGATTTAAAGCGCAGTAGTCGTCGCGCTGCGCATGTGCGAGATATATGGGTCTCATATAAACAAAGATGGCGACTTTGACTGTTGCGCAGATCAACGTGTACGAAATGAGTCGTTTCCAAGCTTTAATTAAGCACTTTTCATGTTATTGTAAGGTATCGAAGGAGTCACCGGCGGTAATCAGTGCAAGTCGCGCCCAGGTCAAACCTCATACTTGTGATTTCCATTTGAAGAGCGCATTGGATTGTAGAAAATCAATGTTTATCAACACAAATATCGCACATGCGCAGCGAGACGACCACCGCGCTTTAAATATATATTTGTAATATTTCGTCTTCTGAATACGTGTTATGTTTAATGAATATTTAATTCCTGGATGTGAAAGTGTTAGTACTATATCCCGCATTAATTACAAGCTAATTGTATAAACTTTCGCTAATTTGGAATAAATACAAACATCGAATAACCAAGAGCCGAAGCTTTCGCATCACTTTAACCATTATTGTCCCAACCATGAGTGTATAAAGAGGATTATTGATACATTTCTATGTTCAGCGTATGAAAAACAAGTTTAGAAAAACCGGAGATTGTATTTTGTTTGTTCAACGGGATAATTAAAACACTATTGAGATACTTTGTGTGCATATATTATTCACTATGGTAACAATAACAATATTGTGCGTCTACAGGCATCAACTGAAATATTAATGACAATGTCACTCAGGTAAAGCGATGGTTATTACAAAGGAAAACGTTTGGGAATAATGATTCTTTTTAAAAATGAAATATGTTTTATCCATATACGACTTTTAATGACAATTTAAGTGATTTAGTGTTTTTGGGGAGTCGCTTCTCGGAACGATAAGAAAGGTTGAGACATGCCGCGACCCGGTGCCATGTCCACAATGATTCAAAGCATATATAACCGGTTATCATAACAAGAATAGTTTTGCCCGCCTTAATTCAATTTCAAAAAAAAAAAATAAGAATATTAATAACAATAACTTCGCATGTTATCTGACTTAAACACTAGTCGTCATGGATACGTACATGCACAAACAATACATGATGGAAAGTGGCTCGCTATAATTGTCGGTACTGATTATATATTAACTGTATGTTTTTAGCTGAACGTTATACGCCTACCTACTCAGTTAAAGTTCAACATGTGTGGATGATAATGTCATAGAACAATTGAATATAGTTTAATTTATCCGGTGAACCATTATGAGATACCGGAACTGGAAAGATGAGTTTACATTTTGCAGTGAAAGGGAGTAATTACTAAACAACGATTTTCTATTCAAACTGCTGGAAATAGCCCACTACTACATAGTTATTCAATATTATTTTATTTTAAAACATATACATTGGAGTCATTTATCTGGCGAGGATCATGAATTGATCGATTCATTAAAACTGTACGTCAGAACGTCGACTGTTTCTCTGTTTGCTGCTATTATTGAGTTCGTCTCGGAACGTTGTCACCCATAATCATAGTTAATCCGAATCGGAAAATGCGTTCGTATGTATCATGTAATTTGATCGATCGCTGTTTTCTAAACCAAATTTTAATGTGGTTCATATATCACCTCCGATAACACACATTCATATTAAAATATCTTTTTACGCTGAAAAGGAGCATTATAAATTACTTGAGTTTTATTTTGGAATTGTAAATGACGATATCTCATATTGATTTATGCGCATACATAATTTTCATTGAAGATGCATAAATAAACATAGACTTTGTGACTTGTTATACAGAATTATTGTGTATAACGACATGCGAATAAAATAAACTGTTCCAATTTATCTATGTTATCTTTTAAAGTCATTCCCAAAGCTACAATGGGATTACATATAAATATATATATTGACTGCCCCGTACGTTCTGTAGACGTTAAAAAAACGGTGTCTGCTAAGCTAACTCGTGAATGTATTGGCAAATTTTGAATAATGTGATATGTAATTTTGAAAGAATGCGTTATTTAAAATAGTATGCATATTATCGTGTAAATTCCCCGTGTTTATAACTAGAAGCGTAACAACAACACCAACGCACCTTCGGAATTGTCAATACTTCGTGTTTCGTGAATGATATGTAATTTTGAAAGAATGCGTTATTTAAAATAGTATGCATATTATCGTGTAAATTCCCCGTGTTTATAACTAGAAGCGTAACAACAACACCAACGCACCTTCGGAATTGTCAATACTTCGTGTTTCGTGCGATTCACGTAATTTATTTGCTCTCCAGTTAGTGTTCCATCCCCTCTCCGGCTGTCACTGCGACCACTGTTCCTTGGTTACACGGTTCGGGGGAACAAAACCAAATCTCGCCACTCTCTCGCTCTTAACGAGACCTCGTCGGCCATTTTTATCTAAGATCTATTCCTGGCTTTTGCCCAATCTCTTATTTGACCTATTGTGGATATCTATGTGCAATATGTACATATACTTGCAAATGAACAAAATCATGACAAAAACTCATTTATTTCATTGGTTATGATTGATATTATTCTTTTAGAATCGTACAAAATCTTGGGTGACTAAATATACCTAACTAAAAATGTCAACGGATATAATAACACTTGTTATTCTCATATTATCTTACATGTATTAAAATAAACAGATCGAAACTTGATTTGACCGCTATCAGTTGATAATGCAACCTTGAAATGATTTGCAATTCTTCCTCGTGAGACAAATATTGTTTTAAACAAATAGTGCTGAATTCAATAGATAGAATGAAATGAAAAGAACAAAACAAAAATGTTAATTCAAGTTGTACAAGCATATCTTTATTAAATTTTACACTATTCCCTGTAGTTGTACGTACAGTTACGAATAAGGCAAAATGGAAAATAATAAGAGAACCATAAACCATACAAAGATACGCTGCGTTGATAGTCAGGACCATAAATTAGAGTCCTCAGAACCTTCTGACGTGTCAGGTATGTACCAGGTGTCCGGAGCATTCCCTGCTCACTAATCAGACACATATAATTAGCAGATAAAATATTAATTAATGTCAAGGAACAAGTCATTGAGAATAAATGAAGGTCTTTATAATGACACTCTGACGAATCACATAACTATAATTAGAAAAAAAGTATTAATTAATGACATAAAACAAATAATTGACAACTTGTTTTATATTAAGTCATAATTAGGAATTCCAGCTTGCATATTTTGTGTGACAGCTGGCATATGTGGCAATCATTTGTTCATGCAATCTAAATAAACTTGTTTGAAACTATAATCGATATTCTGAGTATAGCTTGTTTCAATAGTTATGTCAATGCTATCGCACGACTGAATGTGTAATGCATTGTGTTTGATTGGCAGAGATTACGTTCTCTGTTACGTCCTTAGTGCCAGCTCTTCCTGGGTAAACCAGAAGCAGATAATCGGATAACCAGCCGTGTTATTCCAACTAAAGAGGCCATGAATGCATCTTTAATTTGCGTGCTGCCAAACCATCTGGAACAATTTTTTTTCCAGACACTGTCATGGTCATTAATTCAAATTTCGCGAATAACTACGATACATAACAGTATATGTTTCTCAAATCAGACGGAAATTACAAATAGTTTACTTACAGACAAGAGAACCCGAGAAAAGCATGACATAAGTGAAATACTCCATCGTCGCATGGAAAAATTCTCTACTCATTGTGACGGGCAATACACACACAACGTCCAATACGAACAGGAACAGAACACGGAACCAACAGTTTCCCAGTATTGTCCTGTCCGATAGGACGCCTTTGCCCAAAGCCCAATACCACGTGTTTGGTGTTTTAGCCAGAATTGCCCACAACCTCTCTGATGCTTGGCGAACAATCTAACCACTGTACCGTTCCCAGGTAATTCCTGGCGGCAGCCTGCAATATTACATTGGTAGACATTGATAAGAGTTTTGCGAAGGATACTTCAATTTGGAGTGGGATGGGTGGGGATGGGGGCTCTTCTGACTGGGTTTGATCAATCCATAAACAATGTAGACGTTCATATGTTCATGGGTCATTGTAGTTATAAACAAGTTTGTACAGTCTCTAAACAAATACAACACATAATGAAAATGACTTTATTGAGGCCGGTTCGGCGTCGCTTGAAATCGTCATCAGATCCAGTATGCTAAAATGAGACAATTTTGACGACAGGATGCGCACCTGTGACGGCGGAGTGACAACTACAATATTAGTTTCACCCCAAAAAGACGTCATCAACAACAAAAGAAATATGACCCCAGTTACTCGGTGTGTATAGAGTAAATTAACAGGGCCATTATGCCTGCTGCATTATCGATGATGTCAGATAACTAAAATCAGCCACTGACAAGAATTGCAATTATTAATAGTCTAGTTTATTGAAAGGAAAAGAAAAAAAAGTGCCATCTCGTTTATTAGGAATTCCTTTGTGACGAAGATGAAATGGCTGTTCTGTCAATTAAACACACCCATCTGCATTTTATTGACCAGAAGTTTACACAGCGCGTCACTACCTTACAGCCGATTGATACGAAATCTACATGACATCTGCATAGTTGCGCAACAAGCAGATCGTACCGTCAAAGTGACGTTTCAATTATTATAGCGTGTCACTAAATGAGAAGTTGAGGCGTGCTAATAGTGATTAGAACAGCTTTGCATGTTTTAAAAACACTTAAGTTTTGTTTCATTTGTATCATTCGGTGAAAAGAGTCCCAGCGAGACGAACGGAAACACCTCCCACGGTTTTAGAGATCGTTCATATAGCGCTGCAGTCTGCATCGACGTCACTTAGACAAACAGATCGACGACCGGACGGTTCGAGAGACGACTAGAAAATCATGAATTCAAGCAACGCCATGTACACCATACTGATAGTTTTTTCTACGACCACGCTTTTCTTCCTCACTGCCGATGCCTATCTAAACCAACCACAAAACCTTCGAAAAGGTATGTATAACCCTTCTCACTAGTACCGGGCGTGTAACACAGAATGTTTCCGCTAAGCAACCACATTTCACGAAGAATCACAGGTGTTCAGCAGTTAGGAATATTAAAAGCTGACAGTACTGATAAGAACATCGATTATTTATGTCGATAGCTTCTTACTAAATTTGGTGTGTCCGCGGAGCTTTGAGCAAATAATGTGTTGGATTTTATTCAATAATTTACCATGTATCGTTTGTGTATCGTCCTAATTCCCTTCCTGATGTTCGTAATATAAAGGGTACTTCAATAAGTACGTCTTATTTACATTTACTTGTACGTCGCTCCCATACTGTTATTACATATGAGTATTTCAATTATTTCGCCAAAACAAATATCACGTATATATACAATGTCGAACAAAACAAAAAACAGTGCGAGATTAGAAAAAAAGTCCTTGTGAAGTTGAACACATACGCGAGTGGAAATAGAACTGTTTGTTTTTGAACGATCCCATTGCAAGAACGTTCGGGCAGTTAATATCAGTTACGTGAACCGTAAACAATTGTGACAGAATGATTCGATTGTAATTAGAAATAAAATGTAATTAAAATTGAGATGCTCCTTGTAGTCTTCGGTGTTTGACTTTTCCTTCAAAAAGCATTTGACGTTCTTTTTTAATAATGTCACAGTTTAATGATACGTCCGAGTATCTAATACTAGTAGGTGATTTTCCGTACAACTGCGAGATCTCGCGAGATGCATGAAAGACGCGCGTCGAACGTCTGCCGCAAAAATCGAACGATTTGATTTTGAACTCGAATTTCTTTATTTCGTAGCGCACATCAACCGGCCGATCTTCGACAGAGGAATATTGCATTCGAATATCCTCACTTAATCGAAATTGCCCATCATCAAATGTGTACAGCACATTATTGACATGGAAATGTTCCCCAAAATACTTTCGCGTTTGTAGAATCTCTCGCGATGTTTGACGCCACTACGACGCTATGACCTTTGTTTGTCCTGTTTTTACGTTCGATTTCACGCATAACGCGTGATTCTCGCAGTGAACGGAAAATGGTCTATTAATAAATTGCTGAATAATACACGAGAACGAGGTCCATGGGATTTGGCGCTAAATAAGTATTTCAGCTACTGAACATTATTTGCCAAAATCCACTTTTGATGTGTTTCCAGTCGTATTATTAAGAGTAGAAGTTTATGGTAAACTTCAATCGCTCTGGACAGGTCATGAACAATTTATAAATTTGATCCTTCCGGCGCCATTTTGTAAATAAATTGTGACGCCACACTTCCGGCTAACCATATAAGGCAACGCACCATCGTTTGTCTAATTTGGAACACGAGTTGGGAATGTTTTATTCAATAACCACCAGTTGTTTATTTATGAAATAGTTGTGTATATCTTGTACAGTTTTGCTAACGTCCGATTTTTGATTCTGTTTTGTTTTATTGGAAATCTAACAACGACCTTTACATTTTACTATGTGACATTAAATTGTTTCGGCAATTTGAACGTGCGCCGGACTCCCCGGAATGTTGAAAATTAAATTAAAAAATAGCTCTGCAAGATTATTGATAAACAATACTTATTACCGAATAATTACATACAAGTTTCTATTGAACTCTGATAGCATTTGAGAAATATATCAAGAGTCATATTAAACAATTGTTTTTCTGGTCACGATTCCTCTTGTGACTTTTGAGCACATGGCGTACTCTGCCATCAACCATATGTCAGCTGCAGAGAACCGCTAACATCGAGAAAACATGCTGCAGTCAAAATATGATATAGAGGTATACCTTCGTGTCTTACACTCAGTGCACGCCCAGCTGGGTACACCAAATGCAGTAATCGTGCGAGCTCCGTGAACTCGAGCACAGACACACTTGATAGGAAATTAAATTCGGGAAAAGAAAACCCCTTGCGAGAACAATTGGAATAGATTCCAGACTTCAAATACTACAACCCAATTGTATTTTGATATTTTGAACTACTATTAATGATAACGAAAAATTGAACATCATCAGTTTGGAAAACATCAAATATTTAGTGGCTGTCACGTGGTATAAATACCACTTGCAGCTGGACATGATGATGAGGGATGGACTATAAACCGTGGCGCTTTGCATTATGGGAAACTACACTAGTACTTCACCACTACGCGATATGAATGTTAAGATATATGCAGTAGGTCCTCCGAGGGTTCTATTTAATATCATTTCGAAATAACATGTCCTGATTTATACCGTTTGATACTGGGACTTTTCTTGTATCACAACGATATAAACGGCATCAACATATTTAATTTGCCCTAGTTAGAGTCATTTACTTGGGATTTATGTCATTGAAAAAAAACATGGGTTTATTAAAAAATCATGCATATTTAATCAATAATCAATATCAATCATCAATAACCAAATCATACCCTAATTTCATCCTAAAGTCTTCGCGACATGTACTTACTGTGTACTGTGCAATTCACATGGAGCATACAGCCAGAAATAGTCATCTTGATTCAATTGTAAAATTAGAAGCCGTAACATGAAATATACATCAAATTTCAGTGGTAAAATGTCCCTATTCCGATCAGTTTTAAACCGATTGCTGTAATTTGTGTCGATTCGATTGTTATCATTTATTATAAGGTACTGTGCTACAATATTGTGCAATACGACTTTCAAAATGTCGTCGTATTTTGATTGTGTGTACTTAATTGTGATATATGGTCGTATACATTTAACTTTATTATTTAAATCTATTAGTATTATCATTTGCATTATGATATAATTGAAATAAACACGACTAGATCTTGTAAACTGTAATGAATATAATAATGTAATATTGAAAACTGAGTATTCTATATCAAATGGCTCGATCGTCGTGAAATATTGTTACCCAGGGTACACTATATCATAAGCTGCTGTGCCGTTCGACCTGTAACGTTTTACGTCGTTGTCATAGTAGGTACATATTATTTTACGCTACCAGAATCAAAGAACGTTTTCGAACCCTCATGCACGTGAATCGAAAATATATGAATTCGCGAATGTCGACTCGGAAACTTGAAAAAGTTCACCTACGTGTGATGGGTTGGCTATTGTATAAATACCACCAAAATGCACCCATACAAAAATACGACGACCTCAACTTCTATCTACATAAAGAAAAAAAGATTCTGTATCTCGTATATACACTATCCCGGTATACACTATATTCGTATACACTATTATAATATACCACCCGAATATGCACCAGTTGATGGGAATTAGCACCAGATATTTAATATTAGTAGACATCATTGGAGAATGTTTTTAATTGACGTCTAAGGTGACATACACTTGTCATTGGAAACAATTTGAAACAGCTCATCTCGTAGTTGCGTTCGGAAACTTTATGTCACGCGTCGATCGATACGTCAGCCGCAGAAACTATCTTCATAAATACTACATATGTATTCAATAATCCACAATATCAATTAGAGTCACAATTCTAATATAAGAAACGCGAGATGTCTGCTTTCAATGAAAAATGTGTCTGGAAAAAAACACAACACAATCAATAACTGTTATTGAAATATTGAATTCGATCAAAGTTTCCATGGAAACAAATCGGACCGTTATTATTAAATGTGAAAGACGCATAAATGTAACGAGATGTAGAAATGATTCATGGTAATAATATACCTGCAATTATGTGCGTACACTTTCCAACCGAAGGTCAACGCTAAAGTAGTTAATGGAGTAACACGGTATCACAGAAAACAGTTGTATACAATACTACATGTAACGAAGCATGCTGTTCTAATAATAAATAATTAATACCTAGGAATGGATATTAATTCATTTAATGTTGCCATCAATATTCCCCCGGGGTCGGTAAATGCCGAATGAAATATGATAACAGTTTTTATTGATGGGTGATCAGTTGTTGACACAACGCATGTTATTAAGTTAAACTATTATTTATTGATGTATCTAGTAATACCTATATAGGATTTCTCGTCTAATAGGTTTTACACTGTAATACACCATTCACTATAAATCGCGCCCTCCAGTGGCAAAACTCTTCTGTGACGTCAAAATGGCGTCTTCGAGTTGTGTAGTCGTTCCTCGTCTATGAGATGCTAAATATTCAAAACAGATTAAAACGATTTCAACGCTTTGACCGGTTTTCGTGTTATGGAAACGCTTCATTGATAAAGGGCGCGATTTAGTTTTTTTTAGGGACTTTTACCCCATTCGATGACGTTGTTCACTATTTGCTTTTTAAAAAGTAGACAAGTTTATTTAATGTTTATGGGTACGTGATCCATTGGTCCTATGTGTAATAAGATAGTCCTCCTTTTCTACTTGGAGTGTTTACATTGTTGTCTAGAGAAAGTTGTAGTGTGGGACACCATCAAGTCCCCCAGAATGCATCATCACCGCCACCAGGACGTTAGTTATATTTAAAGCGCGGTAGTCATCGCGCTGCGCATGTTCGAGATATATGGGTCTCATATAAACAAAGGTGGCGACTTTGACTGTTGCGCAGATCAACGAGTACGAACTGACACGTTTCCAAGCTTTAATTAGGTAATTTTCATGTGATTCAGAAAGTATCGAAGAAGTCACCGGAGGTAATTGGTGCAACTCGCGCCCAGGTCAAACCCCATACTTGTGATTTCCATTTGAAGATTGCATTGGATTGTGGAAAAATTAATGTTTATCAACACAAATGCGCAGCGCGACGACCACCGCGCTTTAACAAAACATAATTTTCCAGTTAAAGCAATTCTTCCTTTGTTCACTCTCAACTTGAACGCAGGATATCAATTTTCAGAAAATGAGAGAACAGCGTTAAAACAATTCGTTTTATCACAGATTATATATTGTAAACCAATTTATTTTCACCACAGAAAAATATTTCGAGAATTTCGATATTCATAGAAATCGTGTAATTTTGTAGCAGTGAAAATAAAATATGGCGTCCTACTAAACAGAATGTCAGCGACTTGGTCTTCACGACTGTCATAAAACGGCTTACAACTGAACAACGCTGTTTCAATCATTTATTTTGGACTCTTTATATTAACTTCATTGTGAATATGAAACACATATTGAATGTGAATTTGTATCTTATTGGCGAAACCTGATGTTTTCTCTTAATTACACTGGCCCTTACACCTCACTCGCACACTGGGAATTATCATACGCGTCGACATTCTGCGTTTCTCTTATCTAATCGAGGATCGCTACAAGATTTATAGACAATTACAAATTTGTGTTTCAAATGTTTTTTTTTAAAATAATGACGCAATGATCAGTTATGATAAGTAGGGCATGTGACTTTCTCTTCAGTGTTGCCATGGAAACTTAGATGATATTCCCGATACAACGCCACGCCTTCTGGATTGGGTACACAGATAGTATTGATGGCGCATTTTGACTGATTGAACTTTTATTTCGAAAAGGCAGATGTGAAAAAATGAATTTAAGAAAGCGCTTAGGTGCAACAAGACACACATCCACAACGAGAACAAATTACACTGTAACCTCGTTAGAACGACCATATTTAGGACCTAGAATTAGTTTGTTATAGTGAAGTGCTCACTATAATGAAGGACGTACATTGGGTTTGTTATGAGCGGGAGACATGCAATGTGTTCATTATATGAAAAATTCGTTATAACGATCTTCATTGTAATGAGGTTAGAGCGTATATGTAGTATGTTCTGTAGTAGATACAAAATTACTTGGAAAGTATATGAGATCCAAACCGTTTGTTTTGTAATTGTTCTTCAAACATCAATTTTAAACCAAGACGAATAACACCCATTCTATCATATGACATTGATTGATAACCGCCGACGCATCGATGGCTCATCGTCACTATGAAATGACGTCACTATCGCAAAGCAATACATATTGCATGCCGGGAATTACTAAAAGTGAGAGACACACATTGTATCGATTCTATTCTGTGACAAGTAATATAAAAGACCCGTAAGCGAATTCCAACTCAATTACAAATGATCACGACAAACACGGTGAGGGCAAAATGTTCTTGTAGAATAGGCGTTAAACAAATGAAATTCGGAAGTACAAATGAAATAGGAATTATACGTTTGTACGCGCAAAAACGTAAAGTAGAAGTCTTTTCATAAATAAAAATACTCCCAGTGAATTTAAAGATATTCACTTTTTTGGGAAAATGACGATTGTATTTTCGTGGCTGCCATTTTGCCAACTATTAGAATACGTTTAAAATTTGATTATATCGTAGAGATATTATACCATTTCACAAATTGTTGATTAGTGACACAGGGTGAAGAAATAATATAACACTTTTGGTTAGTCTGAAATATTCCGAAAATCTTGTTTTAAAAAATGAGAAAAAGGTTATCTTTTGTTTGACAGTGAGTTTCTTGGAATAGCTCTAAAATGATCTAAAAAAATCACATGATAGTACAGCGATCCCGATAAAGATTTTAGAATAATCTCTGAGTGCAACTTTGAACAAGAACAAGTACCTAATTAATGTGTTTATTGTAACTGAATGATTGTTATTATATTTAGAGTTTTCAATGTCTTTAAAACTTTCAGACATCTCAATTTCGTTAGAAACGTGATACTGTGGACAATATGAAAATATATTGAATTCAATGAAGAGTTGATGACATATGACTGTGTCATGTTTTTAAAACAAATCCAAGATGTATGTGTGTTACTGACTCTGCCATGACTAGCTAAGCGTCAAACACAATTAAAGTGCGGCAGTCGTCCTGTTCGACATGGGACTCATAGCGACGTATACAACGCGTGAAAAATACATTGTTTATTTACATGAAATTCGAACACGCATTGCGCGACGACCACCACGCTTTAATCTTTCAGAGATTAGTTACAATCTAACAAGGGTCCGATACAATCTAATAATGGGCCCAAAACAAGTAATCTCCAAGTTTTTTTTTTATATATAACATATATTTGTCATTGCGTTATATACCACAATATGATGGCATGCATCAGTTTCTTCCATTTTTTTTGTTTGAATCTTCAAAACCGTGTTATCTGTATGAATGCTACTCGAGTAATACAAATACAGTATGTGTTTCCACCGGCTAAAAATTCAACGATGGTTTGAATATTATTATTTTTTCAGCGCACTTCTGTCATAATATTCCTCACATTTCTGTTGCTGCATATATATTACCTTATTAAATCCGGTGTTGCGTCTCAGACTCGGTACTTATTATAAAAGGCTTATTAGTTACTGCAGAGACACAAACATAATCGATAAAAGAAAAAAAAACGTGGTATGATTATCCCGGTTCTGATTACAAGGGCATTCATATGATTCTTTTACATTTCGTATTCACATGTTGCTAACGCCTCGTTATCATGCCCCGTGTTTTATTCTAATCAGTGGCATGTTGGTTTCATCGTAATATAACTCTTCCAACGCTTATACTTTCCACAGCAAAAACCAATGCATAATTACGACACACACATTGACGCTCCTTGGAATTAATTTTACATAAAAATACAACTTTTTTTTGTGTGACATCAAAGCCGCGACTGGTTTACGCAAAGCTGTAGGGTGGCGTTCACATGTTGGAGGTTATTTCTTTTTTTTTTAGTTTTTAATATGTTTGGAATATAGATTATTATTATACATCCGTCACCGTAGCACCATGAGTTACAGCGTGTCGTAATCTTTAGGTATTTTCATCCTACCATATAAGGAAATGCGAATTCCAAATATTGAATAATAACGCGCGTAAGCGTCCTCTAATAATAAAAACAAAGTTTTAACATGGCTGCCACTAGGATTTGACCTGACTTCACACAAAGAAGTTCGCTGATTCTATTCTAAACTTTTTGGATTTCGGCATTCCCATGATGTATCCTTGGAAGGGAAAGATGTATAATAATACGGTTATTACGAGAATACCTCAAATTATGCACTCAGACAATACGCCGCGCATCGACCTTAGCTGCACGTTGGTCTTCGTGCATACTTTCATATTGATTTAAAGTGTAATATCATTAGTGCAATGGCTGATCTAACATTACGTTGGGAAGGGGGGGGGGGTGAGTTGTGACAAATTCATGTGTTTCTATGCGTCATATTGGTCTCAGTCTGGTTATCTGCTCTTATTTCGTGGGTATTTTGTCGCTGTTATAGAGAAAAAGCATGGTTCCACGAAATAAGAGAAATGCAACAAAGCTTACTGGTCCAGTTAATCTCCATTTTGAGCAAGGAGTCACGTGCCCATATTTTCAACTTTTCGGCAGTTTTCATGGTGTATTATTTGTTACTTGTCAAACTTTCACTGCAACTTTTTTTTGTTTAAACATTTCCATTAATACGAAAGTTTCACCGTGGATGATTTATTTCTACACAACTGTCATATTACCATGTACGTATTTTTTTCAGCACTTATTAATTAATCTTTCTTTTCAGGTTCTAATTTAATTTAATTTGTTTTAGGTTGTGCTCATTTCTTACTATGTTTTTCTTCTTCTTAACTATTGGATCATTTAATTCTAGTAGTGCCACACCAAGGAAAACGAGGGTATTATTTCGGTAATGTTATACTGTTAATTTAGCTCCGTCATGATTGTGTTGTTGTAAATTGTAAAATTGTAAATGTCCACCCCCACACACTCACAAACCTCACTCCCGATAATCAAGATCAATGCACTTCCCGTGTTAGTCAATTCATGATGTGAACAGTGTAATATTGTTATTTATTTCTAAAATAATCACGAACAGGACTAGTAATGTTTCCAAACTACCATGATAAAGTTGCAAGATTCCTCCAGTATACTTTGAGGAAACATGAACACTGAAGTTGCAACTTTATTCCCGTAAACACTACCCTCAAAGAATTCCACGTACTAAAGTAACTGTAAAGCACCAGCAAAAAATATTAAGTAACAAATCACATGCACAAATATATTAATATAAAATATCAATGGTTGTATGTTAATTTTAACATAACAATAATCTATTGTTTATTTATACTGTGCCTTGAGCTGTAATTATTCGATAATTATTCATAGTCATGTTTTTTTTTTGTATTTACCAGTACAACGAGGTGGACAACAACACTTCATCGAAGAGCCCACCGACGTGACCGCAATGGCAGGGGAAGACGCCGTCTTTGGATGCTCAGTTGAACACCTCAAAGGCACGGTGTCATGGGCCAAGGAACAGACCGACCTACTCACATTCAAACGGATGGTATTGAAAGACGCAAGTCATTATTCATTGGAAGGCGCTGGTAACGATTACGATTTGGTCATCAAAGGAGTTAAAGCCAGTGACGCCGGTGTATATAACTGCTTCGTGACTGCCTCAGGCGGTGACGAATCCTTGAAATCTAAAGATGCTATTCTTACCGTTCTGTAATTGGTAAGCGTGGTTTCGTAAACTCTGCCCCAATGCACATTTTCAGAATGTCGACGTCGTGCTCTCTAGCAGCGACGATTCTCTCCTGTTACGAAAACAATAACGTAGTTAGGCTCCGGGGTTTGAGTCAACGCAACGTTGTTCTTAACTAATATAACGTACGTGAAATGCATTCCCGTTTTCAGAATCTTTTCGTCGCAAGAGGGCGCGAATTGTAAGTTAGTATTTGATGGTAGGTCCATTTATAGGTTGGTGTGTGGTTTACGTGACTCCTAGATTGGATAATGTCGATTTGTCGACCACATTGCCCGCTACAATGTTGTGAAGCAGATGTGAGTCCCGTGTCCAGATCTCAAAGTGAACTCTGCCAGATTCGTTAGAACGTTACCCCTACCTAATAAAAAATGGATGCATTCGTCATAGAATTCATAACTGTAAATACGTTCACATGAACACATGTCGGGGTTTCTTTCGAGAGTGCAGCGTAGCAAACACAGCAACAGCGCCACCACCGCTCTAGTCTGACAGTTCAGGCTCTAAGTCGTTTTCAAGTTTCCTAGATAATAAAGTAATCATACCTGGGAAGGTGCATATACCTGCAGCCCAAGGAGTGGATACTACCCTGGAAATACCTTCTAATCCATATCCCTTCCGAAAGAACAGAATTGTCAAAATGGATATTCCTTTTTCACTTAATTTCGCGAAAAATGTATAGTTACTCATTTTTCTCCATTTGTCATATTTCGCATGTTACGAGTCGTTTTTTTCACTCCGGAGAGCGATTTTTAAAGCAACACATTGAAACTTGAAATAATGAATTGTTTGTTGACTGAAAATGATTTCAAACAGATTGACCTCCTTGTGGAACGAAGACTGAAAAAATACACTCGTTTCTCTAATAACTCCATAACTAAAAAAAACGGACTCCGTTGAGCGCCACACTTTAATACGTTCCCAATGGATGTGCAGCACCGGGTCTCACAGGGTGCCGGAGTAATGATGCCACATCCGGGCCACCATTTTTTTTTCAGGTGGTTGGGGGTGCCAGTAAACAAATATACCTCCTGCAGAACTCCGTGAAGTCACATATTCTTGTACTAATCTGAGGATAGTTACGGCAATATTAATATTATATCCATATATTTGCCACGTTTAACTGTATTTGAACTTCAATGGCAACTTCTTGATAATGAATTTGAACACACACAACCAGGATAAAGTACCAGGATGTGTGACCTTTTGGGGGTAATAAAAGCATCTTCACAAAATTCACATTGATGATAACATCTGGTTAGATTTGATGTTACTCATTGAATTAGATTTCTGGGAAGCGTTGGTCATCAAAGTTGTTTCATAGGAAACAAGCGCGCTGTGCACAGAGTGCAGAAAACCCGGGATTTGCGAAATTGGTGCGGATCGTTTTAGAGACATACTCTTGGGTCAAAAGTTCACAAATCAGTATTTCTAGTTTTACGTATCACTCGGACTAGCCCGCCTCCTTCAACCCTTTTCCCATATTGATTCTCCTGGTGTTTAATCGAGCGGAGGTTGACCAATGCATCACTCGCGTCAATTGTTCAAAGCACTTGTTTCACAACAGCGGGAGCACAATGCGACAATCATTCTGGCCGCTAATTTTACGAGTGGTGGTCCCCACGAGGATGCCTTGTGACAGGCCCAATTGTGTACAGACTGCTATAACAGCAACCACAACAAAAGAGTAATTTTATCGAACTCAATGTGTAGATTTACCTAAGTCGCATTCCAAAATTAGGTGACGATTTCCCCGTTGATGCCGTCTGAGGTCAATGTGAAGTCACCTTAATAGTCGACACGTCAATGAAAACTTTGCTTTTGTTAACGTCGTATTATTATATTCGCAATTTGTGAAATCAAAATCAAACCCTCGTGAAAACTGTATTTGTTCAACCAAGGTTAAACGATGCAGTTCCGCAGTACACACTTCACAAAAAAAAACAGGAGCCCAAAACAACAACACATATCAATCACCATGGTAACACTTTCCCCAGTGCGACTGTCATCTACAATATTTACAATCGCAATTTCACAGAATTGACGCCTTTACGGAATGAGAATGTCAGTAACGCCTTTCGATCGAACTAATTTGTTACATCCTCTTAGCATTTCGCTGGGATTTAACAGTAAAACGATGATACCGAGAACCAGACACCGCCATCCGTGGTGTGCAAAATATTAATAATTAGAACGCCACAGCGACTTCCACGCGTAATGTTCGATAGGGGTTCCATGTATACAACGCCTTTAAAAACATTGTTTGTTTCATGAAAGCGGGCGTTTTATTCGGATATAAGAACTAAGTTATAATGAAAGGAATTAAATAATAACAAAGACACTCAAAAAAGTATGTTCTAGTGACTTTGATAATACCCACTGTCCATTCTCGCTTGTGACTAACTCTCTTACACCATGGGTTATTGAAACTCTATCTGACAATTTCTTATTATCATTATTTTATTTCATTTCCACAGAGATTGGCAGAGACTTGAATGGTGGATAGAAAACGGGGCATCACGTGGTGTTGAAATAGAGCATGCGCTGAACACACATTTACGTCATTATATATAACTGTCTTTTCTTCACAAATCTTTGAAACCACTTTTGTAATCTGACATTTGACTCAATAAACTAAATTCAACTTTGTTCCCTGCGTTACTTTTTTTGTAAAATCCGCCAATTCTGAATGTTATCTCTGCTTATGTGTGAAAACATTCTTCTCCTGTGGGTTGGCTCTCCATAAGAACCCGGTCAGTGATTTTTTCTCAAGAGTTAGTTCCACGTCTTTGTTGAAAACACACTCCAATGCCGACACAAGGGACATCGTAATTACCGCTGTATAGGTGAAATGAATTGAGAGTAAAACTATAATATGTCCCCTTTCACTCTAATATAGATGTCGCCTAGCGAAGGACTTAATCTGGTGAAATACGTCACTTTTTGACTCTTCGAATTTCAAGAGGCCTAGGATATGCTTACACAAATAATAACATTATAATCTTGGCACAATACATGTAGAATCATAAAAGCGAAATAAACGCTCGGTACCGTAACGGTTAAGCCAACATCTCCGCTGTCCTAGTATTTGAAATGCACATATTGGGTTCAGCTCATTGTAACGTAACGCTTGATACTTGAAAGGTGTCGAATTTACAGAAAGTATGTTACCATGACGATGTCACAATTATCCATTTTTAGCTCCGATATAGGTGATTGTCCGTCGTCCGTCAACTATTGTATTGTCGACTTTCTCTTGAAAACTATCAGCTCAATTGCTTTGGTCTTTGAGCGGGACCTCTGCTAGATTTGTATATTTTCCGTAACGATATCTTCAATTCTCTATTTTGGCGAATATTTTTGTAATTTTTGGTAGAAATGCTATTTTAGAGTTCTTCTTGAAAACTACTATCTCAATTGCTTTCATTCTTTTTATGTAGGTACATTGGATGGGCATTTGTCAGATTTGTTCATTTCGTAACGATATTTTCAATTTTCGATTTTTTGGTTAATATTTTTGGAATTTTTGATAAAAAATGCTATTTTCGACTATTTCTTGAAAACTACCAGCTCAGCTGCTTTGATATGTTATATTTAAGTACGTTGGGTGGACCTTTATCATATTTGTTTCATGTCATTTCATGCCGATATCATTTATTCTCTATTTTTTTTGCAAATATTTTTTAGTGATTTTTAGGTAAAAAATGATATTTTCGAAGTCTTCTTGCACACTGCCAATTATTTTTGTGAACAATTTGTTTAATGTAATAATATTGACATATTCTGGACAGCCAAAACCAAACTACGTTTTTGTGGGTGTGCGTTGCTCGACTTGGATACCACAGTGAATATTCTTGTAGGACAGCGGAACTATTTCGACGTCAGGTCGCTTGTATATAGATATAACTAACATAGGAATTAAAATTTGGATTTGTATCAAGGCGCGGGTCATATCACTCCCTCTATTCTCATGACAACCTCTTGCAGGGAGTACCAATTAAGCTTATATTTCAAACATTGTTAGTTAATGTGTTACCAGAATAAGCAAAGTTATGATTTTGGCTGAAACTGAACCAGAGAGTTTTGAAATAGCGGACGGATACATTTGAGTGAATAGGCAGCTTGAAAATACCAGTGTAGTTAAGATAACTTCTTTTTGGGACTTTCTACGTTTGGTAGGACGCTGTTTACAAATCACTCTTGTTAATTTGTCAAAGTGTGGTAATCAACTAATCAATTTGATTTCATACAAACAACTGTATTCATCCGCCCGCGTTGCATATATAGCATATCGAACACTGTCCACATTCATAATTATGAAGTGTTTTCTAAATCAACGTTATCCTATTCAGTTTAGACGTCTTATAGATTAAATCGTGAACGGCGTTATGGACTAATTAATATCTGCCATGATTAAACCTTCACTGAAACACGTCTCTTCGATGCGTGTCTGACTTCCCGTAGGCTTCATGTGAGCACCCTGTAATTGGAGTTATCTCTGTGGCTGTCAGCACTGCCGTTAATTGGGATGCCATGGAACAACCGACCGTGATGTTCATTTCAATTGAATGGACTCGAAGAGATTCAGCGTTTAAGATTCTTAACCCAAACAATGGAACGGTATTGTCTATTGACCACGGCCCGTACATTGGACAATGGAGATAGAACAAAAAAATCATATTTGACAATCGGTGATCCGGCTAAATAAACTATATTTATCTCCAAAAGCCCGAGACTCTGACAACTAAACGGCGGGTGTTCTAAGGGAATTCGTCTTTACATTCAACTCGGTGTTTATGCGCAAAAGAACACGCTCAATAGGTCAATAGCAGATTTGTTATAGAGACGAACATATCAAACGATCCCTTGTATTTTCAATTGTCATACGATGCCCAGTCGTAGAATTAAGGCAATTACAATTTATCTCAAGCTAACAACCCTCACCTTAAATCGGCGCCAGTCAATTGGGTTCACAAGGAAACAATCAATCGACATATTCCTGTCGATATACTAGCTTCTATAAATATATATACAATTACAAATCTTTGAAGTACACTAATACACTGGACACACGAACGACATTAGAGTCTTTTTCGTTTATTGCAAATCAATGTGCCTGGTCAATTGTAACCTAATGCGAAAATTTTCTGCTGATTGTTTTATTGGAACGTTGACTTTATTTGGATACGTCCTTTTTAAATTTAAATTAAGATTTAAATAAGTTATGTTAGCTGCACCGAGACAGTCCATTTGAGTGCATGAGCCAGTGACAGAAAGTGAACAGTGTGTCAACTAGTTCGAATACGCGCTATGCGACGACCGCCGCCCTTTAAATGGCTGTCGCGTCGCGTCCTGTTCGATATGGGACTCATAGCGAGGTACACAACGCGTGTAAAATACATTGTCTGTTCACATGAAATTCAAACACGCGCTGCGTACTTCGTTATGGTTTTATATCGAATAGGACACGGTGCGACAACCACGGTCCTTTTAATCATTTGTGCTCATCATAAGTTACATTCATACTTTTATCTTCAACATGTAAATTTAAAATAAATTTGGGTTGAAAAGTTCCAATAACTGTTCATAATACTGTGACATGAACTCGAAGTCGTTTAAGGGTAACTTTTTGTGTACCTCTATAGCAACACAATTTAACCGTATACGTTCCTATGCATTCTGCATTCTGGATATAACTTGACGATTATTCTACATTGAGATATCCGGCTATCGAGTGTGCAATAACTGTAATGTTGCCAGTTAGTCTGACATTGACTGAAACAACACCGTACTGCTTTTGTGTATCGCATATCACCCACCATCATGGCTGTTACGTGTATGCATGATCGATCAATCGGACGTACCAGCAATAATGCTACAAATGGTCGCCAATGTCTGCACTTCTTCCTGCATGCTACGTGTCATATCCGATGATATTACACATTACAATCCTCTATACACAAAATGTGGCAATGTTATAAGCGTCAATTATTTTTTTCTGGTTATGATGAGTAGCGTTGTTATACTAGTATGCTGAGAAAATATCATCGCCTCAAAACCTTAAAGCGGGGAGTCGTCACCTGCACATGCGTCATATGGCCATAGCGTGTCATTGTTTACAAACAAGCGTCAACCTTTGCGTTTTAGCGTGTGTTGTTATCTTCGCTTGGGACTCAATTCCCGCGCGTGCGCAGGTGACGACCCTCCCGCTTTAATTTCGTTCAACGTATCTTGCTATTACACTAGTCAATAGCAATGTGTGACACGTTACTGTTCGTTACACAGAGTCACTTGCCACACACTATACATGTTATGGGATAGTAGAAAAGACATATCCAAATAATACCCCAATTCATAGTCATTTAGGTTATGTCCAAGTACAAGAATGCAAAACAAATGACTGACAAACAGCCCACGATACAATACACCCTAAGTTGCGCCCTCTAGTGAGGGTCCCTTCTATGACGTCAAATGACGCACACGTGCATGTTTATTTGTATATACGTTTGTATCTGGAATATACAATCTTTCCTGGTGAACGACTGTATATAAAATCTATGTTGACGCTTTGAATGATCTTTGTAAAAAAAAAAAACAATACAAGAAACGACTGTTGTAAGGGGCGCGACTTTTAGAAAAGGTATATTTTACGATCAGCTCGCGATGGAGGTGAACGGCCACTCGGCCATCGATATTACTTTCAGACGTTGACGTCACTGATTACGACAATTCACAGACGTATTGCCGACTAATGGAGACATGCGGACGAAACTTAATTCGATTTATGGTGCGAGAAATTCTGAATTGTTTTTTTTTACGTACGCATTAAGCGTACGTTGACGTAAAGGTCGAAAGTGAGTTTAATCACCTCTCGTTTTCATATACAAAAGAAATTACGGGTTTATAGCTAAACTTTATTCAACAGAAATGTAAATTATTCGTTGAAATTGTAGTTCTTTGATTCAAAGCGACTTGCTTCAGATAAATAGAACACAAAAAAACTTAGAGGGTAAATATAGTTAGCAGGGAACGTATTTTTTATTATAGTATTTTAGTGTAGTACTACTATAGTGCGTGGCAATTTCATCATAACTGCTGCGTACGTACACGGCCAAATTGCAACACAACGCCGGGGTTGCGTACGTACACGGCCAAAGTGCAACACAACGCCGGGGTTGCGTACGTACACGGCCAAAGTGCAACACAACGCCGGGGTTGCGTACGTACACGGCCAAAGTGCAACATAACGCCGGGGTTGCGTACGTACACGGCCAAAGTGAAACACAACGCCATTCTGCAGGTGCCAGCAGGTAATAAGTAGTATTTGTGTTACCACTGAATTAGAGCTAAAAATACACAACAGCGTACAACATACAAGTGGTTGATGTCCATTTAATAAAACGGTGACAAACACAGATACGCGGTTGGTAAACACTACGTGAAAAATCAGATGAGATTTGTTCTATGTGTTTTTTTTTTCTCTATATTTTCCGGACTGCATCACAAGTCTACACGGCAACTTGACATGGGAACCAGTTCATGCTAGACGCGTGTCGCTGTGAGAACTGTGCGTTAAAGCGGGAAGGTCGTCATCTGCTCACGCGCGGGAATTGAGTCCCACGCGATGATAACAACACACGCTAAGAACGCAAAGGCT